AAGCAATAAAACCGATGGTCGTTTTGTTTACAGTTTCTCTGTTTGACTCTCACGTATGCTGTTACGCCTGTCATCTTAAATTAAGAATGTTTATACATACACGATTTTCAGTTGCCTCTGATACGTATACGTGAGTAAATTGTTTCGTTATTTTATTGATTATTACAAATCAATATTCAAAACGACCCAATTCATTTTCCCGAAAATTTGAGAATATAATAATTTTATTCTTAGTATTACACTACATCTATCCCAACTGATATACGTGTCCTTGCAAAAATGTTGATGACGTCATCGCAATTTTTTTTTAAATTCCCACTACAAAAATGTAATGAGAAAAAAAACACAATAGGCATACAGTCGTCAAGTTTCCGACAGCGAGGGAAGTACTGTCTAAACTCTTTAGACCAATTTTTTTTTATTGTAGTTTAAACACTGCTTTATTGAAAAACGTTGTAAAACTAATTTCTTTTAGAAATCTACGGATTATATGTTTTTTTTAAGAAGAGTTGAAAATGGGGTGGGGTTCATTGGGTCCGTTAGTGAGGCAGTGTGAGTCATGTAATAAATTACGTAATTTCCTGCCTTACATATATAAAAATCATTTTGTGGTACACTTTTTAGTCTAATATAAAAATGTATCAACAAAATCAAATAATTTGGAAACATATTAATGGCCAGTGGACATTATAAGCGAAAAGAGCCTTTTCAAAAGCAATTAGTTCCGCTAGTTGTTTTTGCTTCTGGAAGCTTCATTTTAATGTCCCTTCTTTCTACTGTAGCCTCTACTTCCACTGGTGGATAAAAAATTATAAGTTGTTGGCTTCTTTCTTAAGAAATTAAGTTCAAATTCTTCGAAGTCGGTCTCTTTCTGTATTTTACTGATATAATAATAAACTGAACATTTGGTAGCACACTCTACCAAAACAAAACCTTCTACACTCAACTGATCACTGTCCAAATATTTCATCAGCATCACCGGTAGGGAATGATTCAGGATTCTGATGAAGACATATTTTCATCGCTAACATCCATATCGGAATCGTCTTCTGTTAGAACTGGTTCGTTCTCAGACTCACTTGATGGTATTTTCTAAAGTTTAGTTTTCGTTGGTTTTCTGTTTGTTTCAGTTTTTCTTATATTTAATTATTTACGTTTCGTAATCGAGCAATTCTGGCGACGCAGCGCGCTTCCAGACGGTGCTTTTCAGGCGTCAGACTTCCCCTTTTGTCTTTCTCTGCATTCTGGATAGCAATTTAACTTTCTTAGAGAATGAATACTTTCCAGTGTGATTATTTGTTTTGCATCGGTACTATGTAGTTCCAGGAACTGAAGGTGAACAAATACGCGGAAGGGGTAAAACTGGAGTAGGCTCCGCCAGTGATGGTGAGCGACCTTTTGGTATAGATTCTCGTTCATTTCCCTAGTCTACAACTGGTATTTTTGGTTTAACATGGGATTTTCGGAAGAATTGGTTAAAGCAGGCAATTTGGGCCGTACCAAACTGCCCCCACATTCTGAGGCCCAAACTAATCCATGTGATATGGTTCAGTGAATAATTTTCGATTCTCATTAAAAGTTGCAACTGATTGTTCAAAATTTAAATTTCTTGTGTAAAATTTCTTGTAATGAACCTACACTGGTTCCTCCAGGTATAGTAACTAAACACTAAGGTGCCCTCTTGTGGGAATTATTTCAGAATTTTTGCACTAGATTTTAGCGGAAATTTCCAAATGGCTTAAGCTTCCCCACGGTCCAATGTACTTCCCCTACTATATCAGTACCAAATATGAAAGATTTCTTAAAAGATCTTAAAACACAGAAAAGTTCGTCTTCGGATATTTGCAAACTTATACAGTTAGGTTACGTATTTTATAACCAATAAATTGATAAAGTATTGAAATCAGAGACAATATAGATGACGTTGGAAAAGGCGTCAAAACCATTCAGAACATCAGTTGGTATGGACACTGTCAGTTCATAATTTTTCTAATTGTCTTGGAATTTTTGAGCTGCTTCTTTTATTTTGAACATACGACCAGAATTTTTTTCAGCTCAGTTAAGAGCTTCTATTTCCACATAGAATTTGTGAGCATTTATTAGTATAAGTTGGTACTTCGCATACTAGTTGGAAATGTGTTTGAACTTATTAAAATAGCAATGGCTTTTCAATTATTTATATTTTTTGTGAAAGTATTTTTTCTGACTAATTTAATAACTCAAAACAATTGCATTATTGTAAAAAGAAAAAAACTCAGATATCATCAAAAATATATGATATTTTATTAGAAAAACGTCGATTTTCACTTCCTGAGAAACTTGCAGTTGTAATTATATCAAAATAAATGGATATTTGCCAACATTTAAATTGGTGACACAAGTCACACTTGTTTTGGTAATTTTGGAGATAAATGGGGGTGAATATGAAACTAAATCACTCAATATATCTATCCCTTTTGCTATTCTCTGTCCCTTCCTTACCAAAATTACATTCAAACTTGCATTCTCAGATGGTATTAGTATTAGCAGGGGCGACTGGTGCCGAGGAAACAAGGGCACATGCTCCCCCAAAATTACAACGTCTGCAAACACACTTGACATGGCAAAATAGTAATTTTCAATATTTAAAAAATTATCCCGAAATTTGTGTCATAAATATCAAAATTAATTTCTTTATCTTGCATCATTTGCATCAAATTTATCAAAACTTACATCTAAGGATGTTGTAAGCGGAGACCGAGACCAAATCATGACTCATTTAGACGTTTTGTTTACACCGTTGCCATGGAAACCGCACTTCTAGTCGCTGTATTTGGCTGGAATCGGGTCCTGTTTGAACAGTTGCGGGATTTCATTTTCATTTTATGCGAGTGAAATTGATTGATTTTAAATAAAAATAATTGATTCAGTTGAATTTTTAATACAAACTCGTCCTTTGTCTTACGACGATAAAATTATAGTGAAAAATTTAGGGTGAACCACCCTTGATTAAAAAAAAATGTTCACAAGAAACTTTCATAGGACATAACACGTATGATAAATTTCTGTGGATGTGATCTACGACACCTAAAGAAGAAAGCAACGAAATGTGAATGCGAATCTTTGCATCATTTAGTGGATTACAATCTTCTTGGTAATACGGATATTCGGAAACGACTAGACTATATTAACATAACGCAAAGCTCGACAAAAGTGGCCATATATTTCTAAGTAATAAAAATAGAAGATTAGACTTTGGTTATAAACAAAACTACATTCGAGTGGAAAACAGTATAAAATAAAAACTTTAAGATTATTATGTATGCATTGTGACTTGTATTTTTATAAATCCTTAAATTCTGTGAAGAAATCAGACATTTCAACATCATATCAATGTAAAATTTTGCAAAGGCAAAAAGTATGTGGACAAATACTTTTTTACTTTTACTGATTGTGCATATTTTTGTATTTATTTTCGTCACACAATTTCATATATTAATTGGTAATAACAGTCTGCTTTATATTTTCATATTTAACTCATCAATCAAACTGTGTCTCCTCATTTCAAAAGTTCACGACCCGCCACTGAGTATTAGAGAAGCAAGTCGTCTGTCTCACCTTTTGTTGTGCGGAGCAGACCTCAAGTTGCCAAATTGAGGACTTTTTTTGTTGATCTATAAGTTTTAAAGTTTAATTACACAGCTGAAATTTCTAAATATGAAATGTGTTCTTTGAATAAAAAAATGTTGACGATGGAAGTACTGAATAGAAGACTATCCGTGCCAAAATTGTAAACTTTTTTTGGATCTAACGCGAAGAAACAAGATGGTTTCAAAGAGTGTTTACTACAAAGCTGCTTATTAAAACAGAGTAGAAAAAATATTGTAAACAAAGTTTTACAAAGGATTCAATATTTTCTTGACTTCTTGAGAATCTTATGTTTCAAAGCACAAAGGAAACATTGGGTTGCTTAGAGGGTGTGGATTGGTCTGGCGACGGGGTGAGGATGCCAACTACATAAAAAATATTTAAAGAAGAAAATGTTAACTGTGGTGAATTATTCACATTATTTATAATCTAATGGTAACCAAAATTTGAAAATAAGAAAAACTTTAAGTACGACTACATTGACACTACATGCATTATTTTTTAAAGGTTTCTTCTTGCACTGGAAAAAAAAAAACAAAAATCCGTCACTACGAATCGTCTCTTGAAACAAAAAAAATCAAAGGGACTTTCAGCGATTACAGAGAAAATAATACAAATACCTGAGACGTAAAGTAAAAAAGAACTACGATGTGCTATCTATGAACATATCATGTGCTTGTTATAGGAAAGATAAATGCATTATTTAACCGGATACCTAATATATATATAGCGTAATTACTTCTTGCTTGAACGTTCAAATATATACTGGACATAGTCTACGACGTTCTTCAGCAACCCTATTACAAATGCAGAAGCTGATATCACAACAGCGAATAGCCAAGGAGACACAGCGTAAACACAACACAAGTAAACAATCAAATAATTTAGTGGCCTCGACTTCCATTGATTAAATGGGCGAATTTATTTCATTCTATCTAGCGTTAAATCACCTGAATTATCTTAAATCAAATAGAAAAATTGTTTCTTTCAACTTCAGTGTTAATCTAGATCTTAATTAATTACTTTGTTGATATTATAACTAATAAAATATTGATGTTGGCTTTTTCAAATAAATATGGTTTTTGTTTCACCACTAATTTATAAGCCAGAGTATTTTATGATGTTATTGTTATGAAGCTGTGGATAAAGTTTTGCAATTTATGTTCTGCTTTGACCGTGAATTTTTTTGTTTTATCCACCAGATTAGCATAGGTTAGCATGTTCGAAATTATATCCAAGTTTATGTGTAATAATATTACGTACATATACTGTAATACTTAATTATAAGTAACAATACTGCTTATAAACTCAAGAAAACAATAACAGATGACTTGGGAAAAATAATTTTTTGAAAAATTTTCCAAAAGTCTTACCCCATTCAGTTGATCGTGAACAGCTATGAGAAATTTTGAAGCAAATCGAGGATCCATTATGCCCGCACAACATACTAGCCTTTGTACCAGTCTTTCTGTTACTGATTTAGCCAACACAAGCGATTTATCTAAAAATCAATCAACTGTATTCTAACTACAAAAAAATACATATCAAATTTCTTACCTGCGGTGCTTCCAATTTTCTGCTGCAGTCGATTCTGGAAGATATAATTCAAATTTTGCAACTGTTCCGGGCAGAATCGCAATTTGGCCGTGGGCAAAATGGCCTCTTCTATTTTGCGCCATTTATTGTTGCCCTTCTCGGCCCTTTCACTGCGTCGTTTGAACATACTGAAATAACATTCTTGTGCGTGCAGAAGCTTCACGGATTTTCTATCGACACCTCACTGTTAACAATTCAATCGGACGTTTCGTGCTTCCTGACTATAATAGTGTCATTATTATTGCCCCCACTTCACTTCCTATAACTTCATTATTGTTGCGGACGGAAATGCCCTTTGTTATGCGCTTGTTTTGTTGGCGGATTCTGTGTTGAATCTTGCGTGAATTTTGAGGGTCTCTCAAATAATCATTTTGTCAAGCTCGGCTACTCTAAACCGTTTATCAAACGTTAATAAGTTAATTATTTTGACTTTTTTCAATTTAGTTCTATTAAAGGCGGCACGAAATTAAGGCATGCTCGAAGTACGCAATAACCTACTTAAAAAAGGAGTCAAAGGACTTTAATAGAGAGGCGACTGTTGGAAATGTGGAGAAATTTATGTCTATTTAATGATGCTTTTCAGTATAGATGTTATTGTGGCATAAGTCGTTGCCTGAATGTTTAATTGTTTTGCGACAGACGTTTGCCGCAGTATAATGCGAATAGGAATCATTGATTGTGCCATTAGGATATGTACTTTAAGTGCAGTTGCGTGAATCAATTGTATTGCAAACTAAACAGAGAATACTCTGATGCCATAGTGATTAAAATAGCTATTTTAATTCGAAAATACCAAAAATTGCACAAATTTGTTCTCAGATACGTTTGAAAAAAAAAACGAACTTTTTTTAATAGCGATGATTCAGTTGTAATTGAATAAGAGAAGAATGAAAGGTTGAGATAATTTTTTTAATTTAATTTCTTATCAAACATAAATTTGACATCACCTCAAAATTTGCATAGTAAATGTAATTTAAATTTTATGAACTATCATGATTTTTTGCCATGACATACAGATTTACTTAAAAAATAAAATAATGTAAGAATACGCTTTTTACACAGTTTATATTGATTCAGCTTATAGAAAGTCATATGTCTAATTAAAAACGCAAAAAAAATACGTAGCCTCTAAAGCGCAAGTAGTACCTCATTTATTTCACAGTATGTTTTTCAATACATATTTGTTTAACAATTCGTTTAGATCACGTCATCAAATTTTTGAAGAGTTCATTTTCGTATAAACAGTGTAGGTCCAGTAATAACGGTAATGTATTTCCGGAACTTCCAGGAAATTAGATGAAACATAATCAATAAAAAAAAACGACCCGTACACGGATTCTAAACATCCTGCACAAACAAAATGGGTACAAACATCCTTAAAAAAATTTAAAAACCCCACTGAAATACCAGTAATTTCACACCCCTGGCTGCCTTCCTAGGAAGATACATTTAATACATTTTGGGATAAAGTCATTAATCTTCTGCTGAGGATAAACATTAATTTTGATTTGCATAACGTAATACTGACTATGACGTTTCTACGTTCCCAGAATTTCAGAGATAATCGTCAAATACTTCGGCATATACATATACGATTATTTTTAAAGATTATTCGTGCAATCAAAGATAAGAAAGGCTATGCTATTTCGAAAAAAGTCATCTAGTAAGCTTTGAAATTTAATCATAAAAATGATATATAGGCAACACCAACCCGTCTTTTGTTTGATTTGAGACAGTTACGGTTAGATAACCTTCAAATAAATTGTCTGATAGGTGCAATTTCAAATCATAATTGTAAAAATAAATGTCACGGCTTACTAGACGACTTTCTTTTATCATATGGTAGTAGTAGAGTATAAGAAATCACGCATCTCAAGACGTCTGAATATTTGTTTAGTAATTTTTTCAGATGACGTCATCTCCTTTTTGAAAGAGATGAATAATTAACTTTTAGGTAATTTTAATGAGTTTTACCAAAATTACAGGGAATTCAGTTCTGCAGCTTATAATAATTATAAGATAAATAGCGAAATTTGACTGCGTAAACTTTTCAGGGCTGGATTACTAAATTCACCAAATAAGATTTACCAAACACGGAATTAGTAACATAAATTTTTAGGAGTGTAAAACAGAAAAAATTCGTTAACGTTTTACCATGTTCATCATAAACTTCACTTAATACTTCAAATCCAGATTAATCGGTAAATAATTTCGATCAAACACACAAAGAGTTCCTCCGTAACCAGAAACGAAATTTATTAACTGTTTTTTATTGTTCTTTCTTAGAATTTTGCTATTTTATTTTTTAGCTACATATTTACTATCTAATTTATAAAACGTTCACCTTTAAAAGTTCACACACAAAAGTATTACAAATCAACATTTTAATGCATTTTTAATGTTAACAGTATGTGGAGCAGAGAAATTTGGGTGCATGGGTAAAAACTCAAGGCGGATACATAAACCACAAGTAGAAAACTGTATTATTTTATAAAATATAACGGCTTTTACTAGAAAAATTTTGAAGGGACGTCATCAAATTGTTGATGGGTGTAATCACAGACATTTTGGTTAGCTGTTTACTATTTAGACGGTACTCTTAAAGTACATATAAAATTTTGATACAGACAGGCGACAAATGATAGACCTATTATTTCGTACTCTCGGAGTCATGAAACGTCGAGAAATCATGAAAGTAGCCACTCACCGGATGGTCGCTATCACAATACTTGCTTAGCTTACGCTTAGGAAGTAAGAATGGACACATTTTAAAATGCAAATTTTAATTCATAATAAATTCGTTTAGAATTACATGAAGATGTTTTCACACTGCAGAAAGTTAAAAAATTTCCTTCAGGAATTTTATTCAAATGATTTATCTTTTGATTTTGATGTTGTATATGATGAATTAAGGTTTTCACGGATATGTATCATCGTAAACAAATATTTGAAGGAAATAAATCGAGTCAAATTTGAATTTAGTGTTTGATTTTAGATATGCTTAGTAAATATTCATAGGTTTCATTTATGACCAAAAAAGTAATTAAAATACATATTTATTCATAATGTTTAGTAGCAGTTAATAAATCAATAAGCTTTAGAAAAGTAAGGTACATGCACTCTAACTATGCCACCATTTCAGATGTTTAATATTAATAAAAAGAAAAAAGAAACTAAAAGTAAAAAACTAAACTTGTAGCAAATATCTGTAAAAATGCTCAAAGGTTTAAAAGTTTTTCTGACTATTTATGTTTGTGATTATTGTTATTGTTATTACCTAAGTATTTATTTCCACTAACAAACTAAAAACTGCATAAAAACTGACGACACTACTCAATTTTTCATGGTCAAATAATTATTATCATCCGTTATACAACAATTTTTCATAAGTTTTGTCTACATGTTTGATGAGATAACAAAGTTTAGCTACTATCTGTAGCAACTTCTTTACAAGTATTGTAAAACTCTAGTAACTTGCGAACTCAAAAAGTGCTCAAATACCTACATAACGAAACAAGTCTCGTTTTAGTTTCATGGTAATTTGACAGGGTAAAAATAACTCCAACGACTAAATTACCACCCGATTTACATAACATCACACTTATTACTAGCTGCCCTCAAATCACAGTTTTATTTTCATCGTGTTTCCGAAATGATTAACTTTCCGTGTTCATGTCAACGTAACCCCGGCGTGTACAATATACAGCATGTCCACAAACTATGCAACAAATTTGAAATTTTTTGAATTTGTATTCAATAAGTAACTGAAAAATCAATACTTTTTACAAATATAACTTTGTTTACAATAATAAATTCAAATTCATTCGTTCTAGTCACGAATAAATTTATTTTTGTAAATGCCATACAATAAACAACAAAATGACTGAATTTTCGTGAACTGGTTTGCAATCCAAATTTTGTTGTTCTAATGCATTTATGCATCGGTACATTTAGTAATAATTGTTCCAGTTTGACGCAATTAAATTGACCAAATAATCGTGTGACAAAGTATCTGAAACATGATATTCGATCTAGTGAAACAAGGTACTTTTGACTTAAATGACAGAAATATTTTTATTACTCAAGCTAATTCGTTAAAAAAATGTAGACTAAACTTTAGATGGAATACAAAGGTATTTTGTGTAATTAATTTGCAAGATAAAGTGGACCCGTGTTTAAAAAAGTTTTTAAAATTAACTTTAGTGCCGGTTTTACAGACAGAAAGGTGTAATTTTATACAATTTTTTTACGAGCTTTTTTAGATGACTGTGTTTTGCTTGCCTTTGGTTATATGTTTTTTAAAGTTTTTTTTTTGTTTATAAAAGAAGGATAACGACGATACGCAGGAGAAAGTGAATCCATTTTTCTTTTCAAAGAATAAGCTGAAGCTGAAGCTACTGTCAGCGTGAAAAAAATTATCAATTACCAAAAAGCTTTGAAGATAAACGTCAACTAATCTTGTATTAAACATAACAACAATAAAAATTAAATTCTTCGTTTAATAAAAATCGTTTATGTTTTGCTTGAACACTCTTTTTTTTAGATTTTTTTATTTCACAACGTAGTTTATAAAAGAGCCTTATTTAGTCCGTTTAAGAAGACATTTTAGTTCTTACTTTGAAAAAGAATGTTAACACTTTCATCAAACAGCCACGGTTTTTAATTTTAAAATCAGAAAAATGATTACTTTCGAAATCTAAGTTTTTTTTTGTTTCAAATCAAAAACCACCTGTATTTCTGGGGTAATATTGAAGGATTTAGAACATCAGTAACAGACTGGTAATACCTTAGAACAAATTTTATAGCCTTCACCTGTACGGTTAGTTACATTGCATGGCCTTAAATCTAAAGTAAAATATAGTTTTGGTTGAAGTATGAAACGTTACGCTCATACTTTAAACTTCTGGTGCTGGATTTACAACTTTCATTCCTCTAACATTTCTAATCTACTAGAGTGTACGCAAGTTAAGTCTGCAATAAATAATTAGAAAGAGATGGTGCCTATTGGATGTAACTAAATAAAGAATTTTTGCGTGATGTAGCCAAAGAAAAATCGCTTGAAACGAGTTTTCATGTGTGTTCTTGAAATATATTACTTTTTATCCGTTTCTATAAAACAAAGTTGTGTGAAATATCAAAAAAAGGATAAAAGGAAACACTTCTTATAAAACACAAATATATTCTTTGCGGAATTAGCGCATTCTACTGCACATACATCTACATACATCATTATTATTATAATAATTTTCCTTGTGTTTTCATTGCAATACAATTTTCGATTTTCTAACATACTTGACATCCTGGTGCTAATTAAAAACGACACAATAAACATCAGTGTTGATTCAAATCATTTTCATTGTTTTATCTCTTCAAGTTCCGTTACAACGGTGTTTTTAAAACTGTGTTAATAAT